AAACCGCTCCTGCCCAGCGCAGGCCGACCCACTTGGTCATATACAGCTCCTGCCCTTCGTAGGCCGACCACACGATTCGTTAACGCGCACTCAATTGAGGCCAGCTACTCTGCCCGACATTCCCATTCTTCCAAACTCACTCTTGTGTCCTTTGGTGTGTCGCGTCCTGCATGCGTGTGTGTCTACTCTATACTCTAGCATGGGGAGTAGAATGTTAACCTTAATTTGGCCGTCACAAGAATTCAGCGTATTCTTGCAGTTTTTATGTTTTGTTTCGGCTTGTATTGGACCAATTAAGCATGTTTATAAGTTTGAACTGAATATGTCCATGCGTTATGGAAATATTTATATGTTCCCAAAAGGGAACGTTGGCCGGATCGCGTACCAAAAAGACCCTGGTTTTTATGAAGGGAAGATGCAATATGATATAATGGATTATGTTGCCTTCTAAGTGTTTGTGGAGCAATGCAAACATGAACAAGCAGTAATGGAGAAGAAAAAATATGTAATAGTCGTCAAGGAGTGTCCAACAATGTTTCTTAGTGTTTTCGTCTGATACCGTTCGCGTCTCGTATACACCGTGGTATTCGATCCACGATCGAAATGCAGTCGAACTCCACACTTAGAACAGTAACATATCGTGGTTTGTCTGCACCATTTAAAACGACATTGTGTTCTTCATATTCTGTGTTGTCAAACGCCCTTATATTGCACATCAACAGCAAGACACTGGTGGTTCTGGGCGGGGTCGGCTATAATAAAATAGGACGGCGATCTCGGAATGAAATTGGATGTAGGACGTCGGCTTGGGGCTCGTCGCTGCTTGAAAAATTGGCACTCCCAGATCAGTTGTAAGACTGTGGAGCCAGACAAAAAGAATTACTTCATGAAGTACACTGAATCTCTCAAGATTGTCGGTCTCGGAGCTAATGTGGGCCTTGTTCGTATCGCCGGTATCGCGCGGTACTTACTCGTCAAATAGTGTTTAGAGATGTACAGGGTGTGTATATCTCGCAATTGGCAAGTGGGTGATGCTGTAGTGATCTCGTGGTGATCGTGAAGGGATTTGTCCAGTTCTATTTCAGGACCCCTATCGTAAACACCAGTCTATTTCACCCAACGCGTTGCTCCAGCGGGTTGGCGTTTTTTTGCCGTCGTACTCACTATCAACAGGACAGGCACCAACATCATCATCATCCTCTCCATTCGTCACCTGGTAGTTGTCTAGGTCCATATATCTTGCAAGTTCGATGAAACCCTTATCATCCGTTGAATCATCTGATTACTACTCTAGTTCATCGTCCATGTTCAGATCAACGAGAGTGGTGAGCACACATGCTCTTTCCCTGGGCACAGCAAATTCACTGCATCAGAATCACTGAACCATACCCACCATGCAGTGAACTGAGTTGTGAATGTGCAGTGCTCAGGGAAGGAGCAAGTGTGCTCACCACTTCTTTTCGAGTTGTGAAGCTGCAGAATGCCTTACCCCTATAGCGCTTACGTTCAGATTGCCAGTAATCGGTGGCGCTATGACTAGGTCCTGAAGTGTGTTGGAGTTCTCAACAATGCCCTTAGCTTCCATTGGAATCACTTTTGAGTCCCTTTCCAGAAAGGGCTGTGCTACTGTAAAAATGTCCCTCTGCCATACCTAATTACAGGTAAAGCGATATTTTCTGACAAAAATGCAACCGCGCGGAGGAAAAAATCATCGAAAGTCCAGGAGAACGGCATAAAGCACCCATACTTTGCTGAATATTGTTCAAGTGAATCTTTTCACACAAAAGAAAACCTACTTCAGAAATATATCCCTTTGGAGACTGTTTAGCAATCTTTACTTTGGCAAATGTCAGGCTCGCACAGCATTGCTGTATTCCGCATGCTTGTGAATCACAAATATATGACCAAATTTGGTTACCATGGAGACGGTCCAATCACCATCAAAACATCAAAAAGGCTCCATCAGTTATATATCCACGTTTACGGATGTTACAAACAAGGCATATGCGTTAGATATGCTGGTTCCTGAAATCTGGTGAAAATGAGGTATATCTGGGTCTCGGATCAGGCCAATGTTCCCTTTTGGGAACATCGAAGGAAGACGGCGGGTTTCTATGTGCTATGACCAAATTTTCGGTGAATCTTCAGGCCAGTTGGGTGGCCATAGTAGCAGAGTGCAATTCTTACGTGTGGATTAGCCTGATAAAGACTGTTTTTCACACCAGAATTCTCAATTTCTGAAGTACGGCCGAATACCGAAAATTCACGACATTTCGCGTTATATCCCGATACTTGACAATTTCAAAAGCCTGACAATTATTCCAAGATTCATGATCATCAGCCTTCTTGATATGTATATAAACAGAAAATGCGGAGGAAAAATGAATTTCCCTTGACCAAATCGCATGCGGAAAGATATGTTCCCTTTTGGGAACATTGGCCTGATTAAGGTTAATAGGAAATTTGAGGCCACAAGAGCAGTACGTGGCATGTGGCTTCAAATTTCCTAATACCAGCAATTATCCAATATTTATCTGGCACAATAATATTCTTAATGTAACTCAATTCAATGGTTTCCCGACTACCGTACTGGCAAAATATGTTGCCGCGTAACGCGTAACGCAGGGGGGTGCGGCGTAACGCGCGACCAGGCTAGTGCGACAAATTTTCGTTGAGTTTGTAACGCGCGTCCGGCGGGGTGCGGCGATCTTTTCATTGCAGTTTGCAAAAAATGATGCGGCAATAGCAAAAAAATGATGCGGCAATAGCAAAAAAGTGATGCGGCAATAGCAAAAAAAGGACTGCGGCAATATAGAAACCTGTGTAACGGCTCCTGTGCGACTTTGCATGTAACGCCCTGCGTGCGGCAAACATGTGCCAATGTAACGCTTCATGGCCTCACTGCGGCAACATATATTGCCAGTACGGTATATTGGCATACTCATTGATGATAATATATTCAGTTTTTCTCTGGATTGCCCGTAAAAGAGGCCTTTCTCATGATGATGCCGATTATCATTTTGCCTTTTGCGGTGGGCAATTATTTGCTTCCCTGGATACCGTGGCTCGTATAACAAAAGACGTTTGAATTAATTTGTTGCTCAGTGCCATCAGGCTCGTTAGTGCATTGCACTTGACCTGAGCAGAATAGCACATGTCACTTCAATAAAATATGTGAGATTATTATCTTTCATTAGACAATAATATATTTTTGGTACAATACCAGCAATCATCCAATATTCATCTGGCACAATAATATTCTGAATTTTACTCAATTCAATCGTTTCCCGGCTATATTGACATATTGATTGACGATAATCTATTCAGTTTTCTCTGGATTGCCCGTAAAAGAGGCCCTTCTCATGATGATGATGCTACACACGACTACCAGTTCTTGAAGTCTTTGGCCTCCCTTTTTGTAGAGCGCCATAATGATCTTAAATACCCTGTTGTCATGGGTATGCTGCGTACCCGATTATCATTTTGCCTTTTGCGGTGGGCAGTTACTTTCTTCCGTGGATGCCGTGGCTCGTATAACAAAAGATGTTTGAACTCATTTGTTACTCAGTGCCGTCAGGCTCGTTAGTGCATTGCACTTGACTTGAGCGGAATATCGCATGTCACTTCAATAATTATGTGGGATTAGTATCATTATTCTTACATTAGACAATATATTTTTGGTGCAATATCAGCAATCTTCCAATATTTATCTGGCACAATAATATTCTTAATTTAACTCAATTCAATGGTTACCCGACTATATTGAAATATTCATTGCTGATAATCTATTCAGTTTTCTCTGGATTGCCCGTAAAAGAGGCCCTTCTCATGATGATGATGATGATGGTGATGATGACTTTGTTCCACCCTGCAGCTTCGAATCACACTCTGTATTAGCAAGATTGCCAAAGCCCCATCAGTAGGCATATGCGGATAATGCCGGCAGAAAACTTGGCAGAATTCGCTACTTTCTCTGGTAAGTTTCATGCATGTTTGGTATGTGGATAAAGAAATGGAGCAGAATTCGAGGAATTGCCCGCCATAAGGTTTGTATGGTTCTGCCACTTTCACTGCTTTTCGAGCATTATCCGCTAATGCCTACAAATCAGTGTTCAACTCTACATACCACTACCAGTACATTTTCTATGGGGTACGCTCCGCCGATCGCGAAAACTCACATCACATGTTGTCATGTTCGGACAGTTCCCGTTGTACGCTCTCAGCCCTTTTCAGCTACCAATGGAGTTAAAAACATAGCACTCCCTAACAGAAACCCACTCAGCTTATGCTCGTCATCAGCATAGTCTTGGACAGGTTTTCGGATCAATGGCAGGCTAGCCTTTGTTGACCGTAGAACGGATCGTACTGTGAACACATTATCAGTACCCGGTAAATAGAATGATGTCTTCACTTGTAGGTATATGTACATGTATGGCTGACCAGAATGCACTGTAGACAGCCTGATGGACTGTTCTACTACTGGACCGTCAAGAGCCAGGCGCATTGTAGGTTGACAGCCCAGATCAGTGCATATTGGTCTCAGAAGCTCTAAGCATTTGCTTGTGGTTTTAGATGCTGTCAACTACGTGTCATGTGGTTGCATGCGTGCGTCAATGCCAATGGGGTAGCAACCCATCACATGCTATGAAAGTATAGGATATTGTGAACTCTGCGCCCTAAGAGATATTCGGCTGTATGCTGTATGAGTGTGAAGCAAACTAACTTCTAAAAGTCATGAACTACAGTGCTGCTCAATGAAGTTCAGTCGCGCCACCAAAGTTAGCGTGGTGCACGATCTCGCACCCCGGATTTAACATGGGCCACAGATGCGGAATGCCCGTTACGTACTTGAGTGATGCGACTGGATTTCAATGAGCAAGCCATGCACATGCATAGTACCTGAACACCAGCACAGGCTGTCTGGAGAGCTGCGGCAAACTCCCAAACATGCACACACCTACACATGTATGAGCATGGACTCTCTTACACAACCGGAAAGCTCTACCTGAAGAACTTGATTTACAGATGCTGTTTCTGGTGGCGCAAGCATAGTATAATGTATAGCAGCTTTAAGGGCAAAGGAAAGGCATAGTGCTCTTGTTTCTACAGCAGACAGTGCCATCATCAAGGAAGTCAGAACTTGAGTTTGACTGTCAGCATGATGGCTGGCAATACAGAGTTTGAGCACCTGGCATTGCAGGGCTAAAAAAAGGCCTTTTAGGCAGCTGTGGATAAAAAGAACAAAGCATTACAGGAGTTCTAAATTGGTGAAGGGGCATGTTTTTTTTGCAAGTTTTACTTTAACAATATCGTTGATACTTTATCTGCCGGCTGCGCGGATTTTTTGTATTACTACTGAACGAAAAGAAGCCATAATGGTAAGCAAGGACGAACAGCAAACAACATGCAGCAATATGCAAACTGCGCCTATCATTCCTCTGTGGTGCGTTGTGCAAAGAAAGAAACATAGAAAGGAATGAAAGTTATGCCGTGCTCATTGTTGCATACTCCGGTTCGGGGGTTGTTTCGACCCCAGTTGAAGTCATTTCGTACGCATCGTTCTCTGTCAATTGACTCACAAAAATGGCCGATGGCTTGGCGTTCTCGCTCTCTGTAATGGTGATAGTCTTTGCCTTGCCTCGATATCGCGCCAAATAAATTATTATCAAAGCAGCAGGTATAATCAATCCAGCGAGAAAACCAATGACTCCTGCAACAATATTGGACGATGTTGAAGATGGTGTTGTCTGTTCCGCTGAAGAGAAAACGGATCAGCGACATAACATAAAATGCATAAAACAATCGTATCTGTGATGAACATGCCCTGCTTATGCTCACCTTGTTGTTCCGGCTGAGCATACTGACCAGGTTCTCGAAGAAGATTTCTGGCCAAGCAAAGTTTCCATCAGGGAATGGATATTTGCATCTGACAGCACAACCTTGGATCAGTCTGCTAGTAACTAAACCATGCAATTGGACCCACACCCACCTTCCTCACTGAACCCACACGCACACCCGTTCTTTCCTACCAGACACTCCCTTCCCACTCACCAGCATTCTGGACCACCCCAGCTTACACTCCTATGAGCAAACTGTCGTTCTGTAGTGAATAAGTGTACAGAGCTTTCTATAGTTGCTGAAGAGTGGCAGCCTGACATAATCTGCCTAACTGAAGCATGTCTGAGAATACCAAAGTATGTGTGCAAGTGGATCTCTCCGATTTCGCTCAAAATTTGCAGGTAGGTTCCCTTTGGGGTGTGGATCGAGTGTGCAAAGCCCTTGAAAAAGTTTCTGAAGGGAACCTTGAAATTTGCATACCCCTCAAAAATGGCAGAAATATCACATTATTTTTGGGTCTAGAAACAAGTCACGCCACAGCGTATACGAACAAGCTATGAACAAAACTCCATCAAGCCAACATTGCCTTGCCTTAGAAGAGTTCCTGGAGCAGTACCGCTTAGCCACGCCAGCATCCCAGAAGACGAGGTCCATCACCCCCTGACGCCACAAATGATCGTCTTGAAAATAGCCAATTTACAAGCGCCGGCAAAACAGCCAGCTACGTCCTCAATTGGGCAGAACTATACACCGGCAGATAGTAGAACACCTCTTCTAGCGCTGAGGACATGTCCCCCATCTTCCTTTTGGGGTTTTCTTGAAATAAACTTTTTTGAATTTTTCCACTCGACCATGCTGAAATACGGCCAAAGTCATACCTGCGCAGGAAAGCTCGCCCCTCCGCGACGTCTCCTCAGCAATTTCTACTCCAACACTACTCCCAAGGCTGCAGAACAAAGTGTAGTGTTGACTCTGACAAGGAAAAGCAGCGGTGAGCACTTGTCACTCCAAACGACAAGCTTCTCCTTGCGCCACCAATAATTTTTTGTGCGACTGTTGATGCAAAAGTGACTGAAGGCCTGAGCGCAGTTTTTGAATTTTATTGCAAGATGCACGGTGAAATCGCGTGCTCTGTGACGTAGGATGACGCTTGCTGCATCACGATACGCGGGCATCGATCGCGAATGTGCCTGGAACGCTCCTTGGAACAGACCATGATGGCAGAGGTAAGATGAGCTTCATTTCCTGCTTGAACTGCTGAGAACCCCCACAAACTGTCCTAGGAGTGTTGCAATGGCAGCAAGCCGTTGAAATATGCCCCGTACAGCATGGAGAGTTATTCGTCTTTCACACTTACCCCCTGCAATCCCGAACATAGTCCAACACTAAAAGTCCCTTGTTTTCATGTCGATGCTCGACAAAAGCGGCTAGCTCGGTCCCTTTGTACTTGTGTTGACTGGCATGCCGGCACGCGAGCAGCACTGGCTGCACGCACTTGTCGCGTGAACTGCATGAGAGATTTCTTACGTCATGAAGAATGTGATTTCATCATCATTTCACTGGTCTTCGACCTACATGGTCAGGGAAAGTCCCGGTTCGTAGGCCTACAACACGGTCAGGGTGTTCTTGAGCACAGTATTCACAACAAAAGTGTGATCACTTCCAGACCAACGGGCGTTCAAGGCGAGTAACAAGCGCACTTGACGAAGCTCCGAAGGTGACTCTGAAATCTCGTGAGCCGTGGGCCACGCGACTTGGCATTCTTGCGTCACAAGGCACGTGATTTCACCGTGCATCTTGCAATAAAATTCAAAAACTGCGCTCAGGCCTTCAGTCACTTTTGCATCAACAGTCGCACAAAATATTATTGGTGGCGCAAGGAGAAGCTTGTCGTTTGGAGTGACAAGTGCTCACCGCTGCTTTTCCTTGTCAGAGTCAACACTACACTTTGTTCTGCGGCCTTGGGAGTAGTGTTGGAGAAGAAATTGCTGAGGAGACGTCGCGGAGGGGCGAGCTTTCCTGCGCAGGTATGACTTTGGCCGTATTTCAGCATGGTCGAGTGGAAAAATGCAAAAAAGTTTATTTCAAGAAAACCCCAAAAGGAAGATGGGGGACATGTCCTCAGCGCTAGAAGAGGTGTTCTACTATCTGCCGGTGTATAGTTCTGGCCAATTGAGGACGAAGCTGGCTGTTTTGCCAGCGCTGGCTATTTTCAAGACGATCATTTGTGGCGTCAGGGGGTGATGGACCTCGTCTTCTGGGATGCTGGCGTGGCTAAGCGGTACTGCTCCAGGAACTCTTCTAAGGTGAGGCAATGTTGGCTTGATGGAGTTTTGTTATTAGCTTGTTCGTATACGCTGTGGCGTGACTCGTTTCTAGACCCATAAATAATGTGATATTTCGGCCATTTTTGAGGGGTATGCAAATTTCAAGGTTCCCTTCAGAAACATTTTCAAGGGCTTTGCACAATTGATCCACACCCCAAAGGGAACGTACCTGCACATTTTGAGCGAAATCGGAGAGATCCACTTGCACACATACTTTGGTATTCTCAGACATGCTCTCTTAACCCTTTCACCAATGTAAACGTACATATACGTCATGACCTGTACACCTGCCCCACTGATGACACATCTTTAGGTCCTCAGAGTACGGTGAGTTTGTACCGATGCCAAAGCGTCAGTGGGGCCTGTAGCTGCAGCTCAGTGGACAGAAGGCATTCACCAACACGTGGCCACCGCGGTGGACCGGCCTGCACAACTTGCAGGCCACGAGATTCATAGTTTGAAGTGCGTTTTTCACATATCACAGAAAGAAAGAAAAAAGTTTGCATGAAAGTGAGTATTCGATATGATGCAGCGGCGCTTTTCAGCAAGGCAAGCAGCTGAGTTTGTCAAGTTGTCAGCCTTGATGCTGGGAGCGATGTTGAGCCGTTTGTAGACGATAGTGACTCCGGGGATTATTCTGGTGACAGCGATATCGCGTAAGGGTCATCCTCAGAGGATGACAAATTTGTTGACGTTGACGATGTCACAGCTGACACTGAAGTGGACGCGCGTGACCAGGAGGATATTGAAAGTAACGGCAGTGCCTCCGACAACGATGCTGTTGATTGGCTGCTTCAGAGAAGAGTCACGTCGCATACAATGAAGTTTGATGGGAGTGAAGGTGAGAATTTTTGAAAATTGGAAAAAATTGAAATTGAAGTCTGTTGTACAAATAATCACGTATGCATGTGCAGTGACACCCAGTATGGCAGGTACACAAACTAATTATGCACGTGGTGCCCACAACACTGCCAGAACTATCACAAAGGCTAAACAACAGAAGAAATTTTATTAGTGCAATTAAGAGTATAATCGATGCAGACATGGCCAGACAACAACGAGTTCATGGAATTTTTAAGGATTTTTATGTTATTCAAAATCGATTTTCGTGTTCCGCTCATCAGTGAATAGTATCGGAAATGAGGGTACTGTGTACAAAAAAGTTTGTACTCTTAATTGCACTAATAAAATTGCTTTCTCCACGCCGACTCTTTGAACAGAAGAAATCAAATTTATATTTGTGCTGTTGGAAAGTTTGTGAGGAATCTCTATTTTTTACTGATCATTATACACCAACAGTAGAGGAATGCGGATATTGCTTGCTACATGCGTGTATTCTCTGTATGTGTGCTCGCGCACGCATTCGTACGCTTCATGCATGTACATGCCTGGCACACCATAATGCTTAAGGGCATGGAAGAAGGAAGGGAATATCTACAACCTACCTTAGTTCACTGGAAATGCTGGCATAAAAGTGTACTTACCATACAACGCCACCACACTCGACTACGTCCAGCTGTACTTCACAGACGAGTTCTGGACACTGCTGGTGACGGAGACCAACCGGTTTGCAGAACAGTATATTACAGTAAAAAAGGTGACGCATTGGCGCGACACAGCATCGCGGGGTGTTGGAAGGATGTGGACGCCGCAGACATGAAAGTCTTCATGGGCCTGTATTTTATGACAGGTCTTGTGTGGAAACCGGAGCTGGACCACTACTGGTCAACCGACCCCTACACCTGCACACCTGGTTTCGGCAAGGCAATGCCACCTGACCGATGGCTGGCGATATTGCAGTTCCTGCACTTTGCCGACAACTCAAATGCAGACCAATCTGACAAGTTGACCAAGATCCAGCCACTGATCACACTGCTGAACCGCCGTTTCCAGCAAGTGTACATGCCCATGGCGCGCATTAGCATTGATGAGGAGCTTGTGGCCTGGAAGGGGCGCCACAGCTTCCATCAATATATTCCGTCCAAGCGAGCTCGGTTCGGAATCAAAATCGTTGCCTTGTGTGAGGACTCCGGCTACCTGTATAATTTCATTATCTATGTCGGCAAAGGCAATGCCTCATTTGATGCTGATGTGGTCCGCCAAGTCGGTGTATCCGGAGCTGTCGTCGCCAAACTGATGAAACCTCTCGCTGGCAAGGGATACCAGTTGTTCGTTGACAACTGGTATAGTGGAGTGGCTTTGGCACGATACCTGGCTGACAACGGCACCGCAGTTTGTGGTACAGTGCGGAAGAACCGCTTGGGGTTGCCCAAGCGCACTGCAAGCAAGGGTGGGTTGAAGAAGGGAGAGTTCGTCAGCCGCAGCTCTGATGGCCTTCTATATGTCAAGCTGCGCGACATGAAGGAATTCTGCTTTTTGTCATCCATGCACGCCGCAAATGTCATCGCCATCAGGAAACGTGACCGCCAGGGCAGGATGGTGAGAAAGTTGACCCTTGTGCAGGATTACAACAAGTTCATGGGTGGCGTTGACAGGAACGACGAGATGCTCTCCTTTTACACGTCAGCACGGAACAGTCTTACAAATGGTACAAGAAGTGGGCTGGACACGTGATGGAAGAGTGCCTTCTGAATGCCTACCTAAGTCAGAAGAAGAATGGCGGCACCCTATCCCACTACGACTTCATCCGTGTTGTGTGCTCCATGCTTATCGACGCCGGGAAAGTTAAGCTCCGGGAGATCCGTGTCGCCGATGAACCACTGCCCACAACTGCTGCAGCTCATCAGCAGCCACAGTGTCAGCCACACCTCTGCCTCACTGAACGCCATCAGCCGACAATTCTCCCCGCTACACCGAAGGAGGAGAGCCCACAAAAGCGCTGCGTTGTATACTCGGCAAGAGGTGTCCGGTGGGAGTCTCGATACGTCTGCGAGGAGTGCCCCATTGCCCCAGGATTGTGTGCTGCACCTTGCTTCAAGGTGTGCCACACACAGCTTGATTATGGCCAGATTTTTCAAGTCCTGTTTGGGAAATGCAAGGATCTGCCAGTATTGTTGATTTTATAGGAAAATTCGCAAAAATCGCCTACTTTCAACTGTATTTATTCCCGTAGCTATGCAGAAGACGTTACTTCAGTAACGTCTGGCGCTAGCCAGGGTCCACACAGCTTTAATTTGTTATTAAATTTTGTGTTTTTGTTTGTTTGTTTGTGTCACGCCTGGCACTATCCCGTATCTGTCCCGTACCGTACCGTACCATCAAACACAGCTGGCCACATACAGCTGGCCGCAATATTCAAGTAGGGCTTTCAAACGCAAGATCATAACGTGAAGCAACTTGGAAGAATGGGTATGAATGCGAAGTGTATGGGGGAATGCATGTAGGGCGATAGTGCGGGTTCGAATCCCAGGATATGCCTGAAAAAATAGGAGAATTGAAAAATGTATAACATCCCTATGCTCAAGTCTGTGGAAAGCAATTGTTTCGCTCTGTTAGAGCTCATCAGCACAGCTCAGAGGACCGAAGCGCAGCTCTTCGCAATGAAATACGTTTCCGTAAAGCAAAGCATCCCTATGCTTTTTTTGCCGGCATCAAGGCGGTAGACGGTGTCGTATTACCCTCGATCGTACATGTCCCGTACCTATCCCGTACCGTACCGTACCATCAAAGACGGCTGGCCACAATGCATATTCAAATAGGGCTTTGAAATGCAAGATCATAACGTGGAGCAACTTGGAAGAATTAGTATGAATGCGAAGTGTATCGGGGGATGCATGCAGGGCGCACGATAGTGCGGGTTCGAATCCCAGGTTATGTCTTTAAATAAAGGATTTTTTTAAAGAATTTATAACATCCCTATGCTTTTTTTGTCTAGGTCATCAAGGCAAAAAAGCATAGCGTAGGGCCCTGAGCTTCCAAGTTCTCTCGTTTAATAGATTCACTGTACATATGTACATACCCACAACCTACAACAAATTTTGGACGAGAATAAGCATTTTGAAAAATCTCCATTTTTGGCACTCTGGGAGAGGATTTTATGGTCAGGGCTGAAAGGATTAATCATGATTACGCATTATGAGACCTTCCGGAGGGACAGGCCCCCTGCAGAGAATAAGTCCAGGACAAGTGCAAGAGGTTACGGTGGTGTCGCTATCCTTGTTCAACAGAATAAGTAAAAGTCTGTTGCCGTGCGTCCCGATCTAGCTCGTGATGGGTGCGAAGCCGTTTGGGTTCAACTCCAGCCGTATCCGGCTGCAGCTGAGCCGATCCTCCTCCGCTGCAGTTATCGTCCACCTTATGCTAAGACTACAGATATAGCAAGGTACTGCCAGACTCTCGAAGACGCACTCATTACTCTTCCTCTTTCATCTTCTCACGTTATCTTGACGGGTGATTTTAACAGCAAGCACACTTCATGGTGCTCAACAGATTCCACCAACACTGCCGGTGCTGAATTGTATCGCACGCACAGTTCATTTGGTCTTCACTAACTCGTCAACACATGTACATACATGTCACCCTCTGGGGTCCAACCCTGCTTGGATTTGGTGTTGATTGACCGTGCCAATCTCTCATCTTGCGTCGAAACTGAGTGCCCTCTGGGCGCCTCACACCATGCCATTGTGTACTGCCAGTTCGACATCCCACTGCCTCAGTCTCCCCGCGAGACAAAGTCTCAAGCTCAGGAGCCTAACCCTATGTCTTTCGATCTCCGACACGTTGCACCTGCGTGGGAGGCGGTCAATGCAGACTTAGACTAAGTACCTTGGAACTCATTAATATCCTCAGACATGGACAGTGCACTTAGTAACCTGCACAGTGTCCTGCAGACTGTGCTGTCCAAGTATGTTCCCCTTCATAGCTCCCGCAAACCAAATCGTACCCCCTCAACCCCAGGGTCTACACGCAAATATCATGCATGGGTTTCAAGTTGAAGTGTGTCCTATTCAGCCTCTCCAAGAAATTCCCTACGGACTACAACCTATCAGCATATAAAGCATAGCGGAACAAGGTGAGGCATCTTTCCCGCTGGTACCACCGCCAGTACATTCGTTCAATCAAAAAAACACTTCCCTCAGGCAGCACTACGCTTCACCAGTTTGTCCGCAGCCAATGATCGCACAAACTAAAACCTGGCATCCCTGACATTGCAAGCCCTGATGGGCTGCTGGTGTCTGACAGCTTCCAAAAACCAACCATCCTCAACAAGCAGTTTACCTCTGTCATGGTGCCTGATGACCCACGTTTAGTAATACCCCCTCTCCAGTATGACACTCGTCTTACTCGCCAATTCACCCGCGTTCATACCACGACAGCAGATGTTCGTAAAGCAATCTCAAACCTGAAATCTGGGAAAGCGCCAGGGCTAGATGGTATCACAAACAATACGATAAAGAAGCTAGCTCCTGCGATTTCTTTTCCACTTAGCCGCCTATTTAACCTCTCCTTCAACACAGGCAAGTTCCCTGCCGACTGTAAACTGGCTAAAATTGTGCCTATTTACAAGTGCAAAGGGAACAAATCCCAAGTTAGTAACTACCTCCCATTTTCCCTCCTGTCCTGTATTTCCAAACTTTGCAAACGGCTCTTCTTCAATCAATTATATAATCATATTTCTCCTGCTCTGGATCCCGCGCAATCTGGGTTTCGTCGTGGTGACTCGACCGCTCTACAGCTCACCAAGCTGGTCCAAAACATTGCCGACCATCGTCATATGGGGCGGAAAGTTGCCATGTGCTTTTTCGACCTCGAGAAAGCTTTCGACACCGTGTGGCACTGTGCATTACTTGCTAAACTTTCCAAAGGTTTCGGCGTGTGTGGCGCAGCGCTGGAGTGGATTACAGACTACCTATCCGGCAGAACGCAAGTTGTCTTTGTAGGTGGACTTCCCTCAGATGCATCACCTGTTCTGTCCGGAGTGCCCAAGGGATCCATCCTAGGGCCTCTCCCTTTCCTAGATGTACTGTAAAAGCCGTTATTCTAACGACGCGCATATATAGCGATTTCCCAAAATTGACTAGCTTACGTGTACCAAAGGTAACGATTCCCACTCATTCTCAACGCTCAATAGGACAGTATATGTATCGATTTCTGCGTAACGATTTCTATTCTAACGACAGATGTCTCCTTGTTAACTCGTTAGAGTTAGCACTTCGTTATATATATATGGCTTTTAATGATCTTCCCAGTCATTTTGAAGGTGTGTCCTTATTCGCTGACTACTGCACTGCTCCGGTTCAATGAGTGTCTAGACAGACTGCGAGACAGTCTCCAGAGCGGTATCAACGAAGCTTGTGAGATGGTCGGGACCGAGCCTCCGGTATCAAGAGGAAGTCCCTGTACACCATCACTAGGTCTCCAACTGTTAAATTTTCGGGTGCTCGGCCTCGGTCAGCATAAATTGTCTGACGAGCCTGAGCCACCAGCAGTCCAGCACAGCATCTCTTGCGACAGCTAGAGCTTCATTACGTGCCTCCAGCCAGTCACCAGCATTCTCTCCCCCTCATTTTCCCCTCATTTTTCCCATCTCCCAAACAGTTGCAAGATTCTATTCTACCGATGCTATATTCTGCCTTTATTATGAGTACGCTGACATAGCATGGTGTGGTCTTAGTGTAGCTGCTGTTTCCAAGCTTGAAATTCACCATAGAAAATATTAACGGCTACTAGTATTTGGAAAATTCCTCAAACAATAAGAGGACAGAGAAATTGTTTTAAATCCGATTTTCACGCACTAAGCAATCATCAGAAAACAGTAATGAGAAATCTGGATCAGTATTGGTTTATAATTATACCCACAAAGCAAAGTGTAAATGGCTGCATAATTATCATAATCCCTCATGCATAACAGTAAGCGTATTGTACTCTCCTCTCCACTTGCCGATCAACGCCAAGCACACCTGTGTGCACTCGTTCAGAAATTTTATCTTAAGCAAACTCCCAGGCACTTCAAGAAATGTGATTAGTTCCAGTGAGAGAGAAATACAAGACACCAGGTATCATTACCTTCCCCTCGATTGTCCCTAATGATCAAATCACCTATCTTTATGGCCTACACATTTTGGCTCAAACTTTCTTATAATATTCACTGTTCACAGTCTCTCTCAGCTTTTAAGGATGCATTTCAGCTAAAATAGTACTGTATTGTGCTCCCTGCTGTTGACACATGGTGTCACCTCCCTTCCTTTTCTCCGTGGTTGGAATCACCCCCATTTTTTATATTGGCTATGTATGATTATGTGCCATGAAGTGGAGACGATAAATAAATAAATAACTTAGAACTTTCCAAGCAGGAAGGCTGTTGGACTGCGCATCCAAGATGTGCTAGAGCCGTTAGCCAGTTAGTTGTAGAACGTCAGTACCGTCGGTCAGTGTCGTGCAATGTTATCGCATGAGCTGATTGCTTAGTAGCTGATGATGTTAGTGGACAGTATAGCGTAACTTGGTTCCTTTCTCTTTTGTATAAAACAAACATAATCTCGACTTACATGTACAGGGGAGAGCACAGGCTGGAGCTGGTTCAGACCAATGTCCACCTTTCAAGCAAAACGTTGTTGTTGGATCCATTGTTGTGTAGCCAGCAGAACAGGAGTACTTTCTCCCTGTTCCTAGGTCCAGACTACCATTGTCTATCAGCCCGTTGGCGGGGGCAAGTAATTCAGGGCACGCCATTGTGCTGTCTGCAAGTTAAGGAATAGTTGGCAGAAAAGTGGCTTTAAAACTTCTCAATGTATGCGATGACATTGCACGACACTGACCCGGCCTTCCTTATGTTATTTCTGAACCTTCCTAATTGGAAGGCTGTTGGAGTGCGCATCCAAGATATGCTAGAGATTTTAGCCAGTTACTTGGTCCGAGTGAGCGATATTGTCGCTTATCTTTCAGCTTTCGGCTTCAGCTTACGACGAGACCAGTAGGATATTTGACAAAGCGGTCTAACTACAATTCGAACCAGCAAAGCAGCACACCACCCAACTTGGGTGGGTCATAAATATCTGCTGCTGTGCTGCTTCGAATTGTAGTTAGACCGCTTTGTCAAATATCCTACTGGTCTCGTCATAGTCCAGTAACAATCGACATTCTTTGTTCCGTTGGGACTGTAGCTTGTGCTCATTTTCGTTGCGCTTGCCTTCCCCTCTTTGGTCTTTCCATAACCTTGAACCTTCCAAGTTGAAAGGCTGTCGGTTATCGCTACGGAGATGTGTTGAAGCTAGGTGGCAGGACGTCGAATGTCTCAGTACTCTGTCAGTTTTGTGCCTAGTTGTTGCACTTTCTGACTGTATATGGCATCTGGTTACAGTGATGGAGAGTTACTCTCAACTTGTATCTATTCCTTTCTACACGTATTATTGGCTCAACATCCGAGTTTCAAATTGCACACCTGATGAGCCGTCACGGGCCATACGGCGAAACGTACGTCGTGTGAAACAACTTGTTTAGTAGTCAACTAGTCCATCACAACTAGTCCATCACTGTATATAGTATCTGGTTACAGTGATGGAGAGTTACTCTCAACTCGTATCTATATTTCCTTTTCCTTTCTACGCTTTTTATTTGCTCAACATCCGAGTTTCAAATAATATTATGCATGTCTATAAAATCAACCACGTGTTCCTGACTCCATGAAATTGTCTTTCTATTCTTTGACTCCATGAAATCATTGTCTTTCTATTTCTGACTCCAAATGATTGATAGATGAGAAGGTTGGAATTTATGGCAGATAATAGAAGTTTAACGATGATATTCACAAAGTGAGTATATCAATGGCAGAAAGAGCTTTTCGGAAGGGACCAGGGACACATATCACTCTAAAATCAGAGGGGAGACCGTTTCAGAGAATGCTTCCCCGAAACATCATGGTCGATCGTCCCACAGGCCCACGAAGATGGCCCGAGGATGGTCATCATTTTGGTCAGATAATCCGTTCTGAACATTATCATGGTAGCTCTACCCTTGTCTGGACGGGATATAACAACATCTGGGTTCTTACGAAGTTGCTTAATGGCCTAAAGGGGCAGCGCGGCGGTAAGTCCCGGAAAAATCGAATTTCTAAATTCATATCGAATGCTACATCAGTTGAAAGAGTTTGAACAGCTACAAAAGCTCTGAAAAGTTGTCTCGATCTGACCAGCAGTTCAAGAGTTATGGCCGAGAATGTTGCCTTGCAAGGAAGGAATAATTTTTTTGTTGCACGCTTTTATTTTTTGGCAGTACTGTATTTGAATGTGAGCAGACCGTGCGAAACTTGTCCAGATACATAGCCAGCAATCGCATGTAATCTCGTACATTGAAAATCAACATAATTTTGCGAATCGACCTTTTTTTCAGGATCACTTTTCAACGAGGACGAAGCAAAGTCGGCCGAACGAAGCCTAGAGGAAGAAAATCACCCTCTCCACTTCACCATCACGATACTGACATAGATACGAGATGAAACAACTAAAAAATTCACAAGAAAACTGTACGACCATCATCGCGCTGACTTTGGTCTGACTTTGGTCTGAGAATTTCTATCACGATCAAAAATGTACGAGGAGCACTCAAAAATCAGCCACAGACGTACCTTTATCGCTCTCTACTCCTTTTTCAAGGCACAAAAGTCGACTCTCCACTTTCAAACCAGGAACCAGACAGACCAGTGGTCCTTTTCAGCTGCTCCACGAGCGCAGGAAATGTTCACCAAGGGGCGCAGAGCAGCATCCATTCCAGAAAAATAGCTAAAATACGAGTGAGACTGCATGCCTGAGTACATGAGTACATGTATGAGTACATGCAGAAAATAGTCAATTTCAGCGTTTCTGCTCCAAACAGCAACTAGCTTCGACTAGAAACAAAGATTACACCAAAGGATCAAACAACAACCATTTTCTGCAGTTTTTTTGCAGATGGCTTCCTTGTGCTTGGCCCAGCACGCCAAAAATCACACCTCGGAGGAGTACAAAAATTACAACTCTCAGATGTCCTTGATTGCTGGCCATGATCACGTTTTTTAGCCATGTATTGGGCTGAACATCGGCGGGCTTGCAGCAGGACTTTTGCCAGCACGCTCGTGACGTTGCAGATATGTGGCTTGATTATTGTAGTTGACGATGATTTAGTGACTTCGGCAAGTTTGAGTCGTGTCAAGAAGTCAGGTAGGATTCGGTACTAGGCAATAGTGGAACGTGAGTGGCAGTCCTTGCCGAATTTTGAGGGGGTCCTGGATTTGGTGTGCAGCGCTGTGGAAATGGCTTGCTATGGAGGTCCCAGCACTAGATGTTGTATGAAAGGTAAGACGTCGTAGCGCGTGCTAAACCTAAAATAATTCAAAAATTGACTTGGGTCTGTGGGATCCCGGGAGTCTGGGAGAGAACGCCCACTCGTGCCGTTGTGACAGATTCCAGGGCCACGTTGAGGGGCCCTATCCCACCACCCATGGCTGCTACTGGGCTTTAATGGCAAGAATATGTGAAAAATTGTAAATGCATTAAATTTTGTTTGGCTCCTGGGTGGCTTCCACACCGTGGCACTATGCCGGAATTTGGAGTTTTCCGGGCTGGTAAGCCTGCCAGTGAGACGCAAGAACTTTTAAGTCACGTCCAGGGGGCCAGCATAGTGGCAGGAGTGTGTGGTGAAAATTTCACTCAAATCCATTGAGAGACACCACAGTTACGGTCAATTGAATGCAATATAAAATTTATGGGTAGGCTGCTACCCTAAGGTTTTCGCGAGTGAGTGAAAAGGAACAAGCTTCTGGAGGTGATTCCGCGAACCTATACGCCTCCGCAGCTAATGATGCACGGCATGAAGCTGCTGACATGTCTGATTTGGCGGGAATGGAGGATAGCTGTTGTTGAAAAAGCTCAAACTCAGCCAAGATGTCTAAAAGGTTAAACCGAGGAAGTATACCGAAGTCCACACCACCACAGAGAACTTTCTCCTCAATCTGAGTGAGGGTGACCCCGGTGAGATTGATGATAGTGTTAAAATTCTTGCTGGCGGCACCAAATCGATCCATCCGCAATGTGGAAATTAGGTAAGAGTGTTTGTTGGTTAGTTTAGTGCGTTGTTTACGGTCACATTCAGACAGTTGCCAAGAGAATCCAATGAAATCAAAGATACTGAGAGACAAGCGAAGTTTGCAGTTTGCAGATGTAAACTTACACCGTGCACTCTGCAGATTGTATTTGGCTTTCTCTAAATCGCCCTTCAACAGTACTTTCTCAATGGAGATGGAATCATGTAGCTTCAACTTCTATACACGTTTTTGGAGGTACATCGGAGCAACGGAAAACTGAAGGCATTGCCTGAGTAGGCGCACGTGGAATATGGCAGTGTTAAGGCATCCTCGGCGTGCAATGACATCATTCAAGTACTCCAACTGTGCAGCAGGAAGCCGCTGCATGACATAGATAAAACACCGTCGAGGCGACAAAAACCATAGGATAGCAAGGCTTGTCATGGATTGCATTTAGGCCAATAGACAGGCCATCAGCATGTGGGCAAGGCCACCTACTTCACTGGGGCGAAGTAAGACCAGCGCAACACAGGCATGAGTGGTCACAGGCACCACTCGTCAACACTAACAAAACAACATGTGAGCCGCGGCCAGCAAAAAAGGTACTATAGAAAATTACGGAAATTGTTCAGAATGGGTGTTTGAAGTTCGGAATTGAAAAAAATCTTTTTGAGTTGAGGTGATTTTGTACTTTTAACGAGTTGTCTCCTTGATGAAGATCGCTTCGAGATTATTTTGTTTTCATCTTGACAAGCTATCAAGTGGCGCAACTTCATCTTTCAACAAGTGTGAGTGCATGGAAGACGCGTACTGAAAGTAGAGAATCCACAGACTGTCATGGCATGCACGAGTAGAAGACGAAGCCTAGAAATTTGCGGGGCGAGCGTTGACGACCTCGCTGTGCTACGGGAACATGACGAAAGTTTTTACGGCCTAAACAGCAGTGATACGATTGCCGAATCGTCTGGCTCAGACGACTCAGATTCGGACACACCTGCAAAAAAGCGGACCTATTTACCGCTGGAGTCACAGAGCAGCGATGACGAGTATTTCAGCGATGCAGAGGATACCACTAGCGATGGAACGAGTGCAGCAAGTGGAGCGGCAGCGGCGATGATACGCGACGCACTGGACATCGGTTGCAAATGCAAAGTGAATCATTGGACCAAGCTACCTCCGGACCAGCTCCAGGAACTGGTATGTAACTTGAGAGCAATGAAGAGGAGTGAGCTGAAGTGGTACATGCTGGGCGAACTTGCAGCGATAATAGAGAGGTTCCGCACTACGTTAAGTTGAGCAACTTTACGTTAGTGGGCGGGGTAAACCCGTGAATTCGCGAATTTGCACTCCACTTACGGAAAGTTGTCTACGTAGAGTACGTAGATAGGGCTCTGATAACGTAGCTGGTCCGTAAGTGGATTGGGGTACAAATTTATGACTCTCTCCCCAGGTCGATCTGGTTGTACACTGCCGCGTTCGGAGTTGCCAAGGGCAGCTACGTGATTTGAAAACTCCGTATGGCGGAACACAGATGCGCATGCAGTTTACGTAAGACTTTCCGTAGATCGACTACGTTTTTTACTAACATAATTACGTTATGCGGAACCTCTCTAATGAAAATATCTAGCCCCAGCGCTGGAGCTGCAACTGCAAGTTTTCGCAAATTTTCGTTCACATATGCAA